GACTTCAGAAACCCTACATTGTGCGGTCACCTGAGAACGCGCAATATGTATACAAATACTACGCAGACGAAGGAAATATCTTTTTAAAATGTTTATTCATTCATTCATTCATTCATTCATTCATATTCATTCATTCATTCATTCATTCATTCATTCATTCATTCATTCATTCATTCATTCATTCATTCGTTCATTCGTTCATTCATTCATTCATTCATTCATTCATGCATGCATTCATGCATTTATTCAAATGATTATATGTAACTTTAAAGGGTGGCAGTCGTCACGCCGCGTCCTGTTCGACTCATAGCGACGTATATAACGCGTGTAAAATACAGTTTATTTACATGAAATTCGAACACGCGCTGTGCGCTTTAATAAAACATATAAAGAATAATTTGTTTAATCGAGTGACTGAAAAACGAATCATGAAAAGGGGACAATAATATCAATACGCAAACACAAAGTACCGATTTGATATCAGTGAGCAGCAATCATCCACTAGCAAGACTCTCACATAACGACAATACCGCCCCCTAGCGACGAGGGGCCCCTATGACGTGAATGATTTAAGGGACGCCATTCAGAGTCAATATTTGCCTACTGTAAAATACTTTATTTTCACTTGGAGTTTATTTTCACTGAAGGAATGATTCAGTGAAAATAAAATCCGGTGTATATACATTTTTTCTATATTTTACATTCAACTTGTCAAAAATCAGCTGAGGAAAAATAAATTTCGAACAAAACACCAACAAATGACTTTTTTTTAGCGAATTCAAAAATAATCTCAGTGTATTCAGTGCTTATATGAGGTCATCCGTCAACAAAAAATACTGTTTTTCAGATATTTTCTATATTCTAAATGACAAACTACTACACAACAAAAAAGAATTGTCAATTTGCACGACTGTGCCTGCGAATCTACTGGTGTTATTTCCTGATTTTTTATTAATATTATCCATGACGCACGTAACAGCCATGTAAGCTACCACTCATAAATCAATATGACATTATATCGTTAACCTCGTTTTCTGTCATCATTTTTGTGTAATCTTTTTGCTTAGCGCACATCTCCTGACGATGTATGGAAAGCTTAACGCTTTACGACGCGTCCTCCTTGGTCAATGGGTACCACGTGAATCCAGTATAGCAGACGATACACCGGTAGTGATTGCTCCCGGAATGAGAACATAAAAAGCACGAAAACACTTGTGTGTAGACAGGATCCAATATATCGCCCCAAACAATACCAACATGCTTGAAGAATTTTAGGCTATTTCCGTCTGGAAAATGACCAGCCTA